ATTGAGTTTACGTATTTAACACAAAATACAACAATTTAGAATATGTTTCATCCAAAGAACAACTTAATATCGCTATTTTAAGCCCCGAAAAAAGTGTATAAAATACACTTATCAAACGCCCCCAAACATAAACATTTGTTTGTCCTCAAACAAACTATAATTTAAATAACAACAAACACACGAGCATACAAGGATATTTGGTAAGACAATCTAGCTTCTTACCTCAACATTTAAGATTTTAATGTTAATTCCATAAATATGCTTTAAAGTCACAACAACAAACAAATATCTACCATTTCAATGCAAAATCGGTTTTTGTGTGAGGAATCAAGCAATCAACCATGAACACAACAATTTGTTTCAATTTCCAACCCCCTGTAGTTTAGGTGAACTTCATTAGTTGCAACTCAACACATCAATGAACAAAGATTCTTCAATTATTTGGATAATTAGTCAAATTTCTTTAAACAAGTATTTGGGACTTAATCAAGGCATTTCATACACTTGCTTTTTCTGATTTTCAAAAGTAGTTTTTCTTTTTGCATTCTCTCCCATAAGCTCTCCAGATAACCCATATAGCACGCTTGCACCAAGTTTTAAATACTCTTACAGACTCAATAAACCAAGTGAAAAAAGGCTTCGAAGAGAACTAATTTTTGTTTCAAGTGTAACTTCATCTCTGATTGTCTTCTAAATGACGAGTTTTTGACCAATGACTTCCAACCCTAATGACTTTAGGGCGTCAGATTTTTAGATACCTTTGTAGGCATATTACTCGAGTCATAAAAACTTCAAATAAAAGTTTATATATATATATATATATATGTATGTATGTATGATTAGTACAATGTCCCTTATCAAACACATATTCATACAAACCAAACTCCGACATTAGACTTTCGTCCAATTTTATCCTGTTGGTTTAAGACAATTCACCCATAACTTTTTCATTCAAGGAATCATATTTACATTTGTATCTTTCTACAACAGTAAAATCACCCCCAAACTATACTAAATTTGGTCTTAGAACAATTAATTTTAGATAATTTTGAGTATGGAATCTTTGATCAATCTTTCGAACTATCTAGCATATGAATCAACTTATTACATCATGATGTAAAACTCAATTCTTGTGCGCATATAATATCAAATTCTACAAGGCTAAGCATCAATAAATTTACACATGTAACTTATCCACTGTTCATAAATCAACACAAAATCTCAAATTAAATCATCATTACCGACCAAGCTATCTAACCCACACTAACATATAATCTAATAAAAGAAAATATTTTTGAAATTATTCAAATATTTTGTTTTTTTTTTTTTATACTGAAGCAATACTAAAAACAAACACACTAAAACACTCAAACATACAAAAAAAAAAAACTCAAATTTTTGCCACCAAAAACTTAAAATCAATATTGTCCTCAATGTCATAAAGTATAAGTAAACACATAAAGGGGTAGGAAAGAAAAAGAAAACAGTACTCCGCTGATGTTATTTCTGATATTTTTGAAATAACTTATCGTACAATACCATTCTATCATAAAAAATACTAAATTAATTCATTTGACATCAAAATACCTGCCAAAGGTGAAAGAATATGATTATAAGAGTCAAGGAAGTGGAAAACGTCCCTGGAGCCTTAAAGTTCGATCCAAACTGATTATTCTTATATAGGCTAAGTGTAGATGTGATGATCCCAAAACTGAATTGAAACATGCCTATAACTAATGCAATTCTAGAAATCAAGAATAGCACTATATGCCATTCGATACGGAAAGCAAAATAAATAAAAGGGTTAGGATACTGGATTACTTTCCAATAAGGGCTTAATTTATAGTATTTAGCTAGATTTGCAGCTTGATTATTTCGGGTTGTGGAGTTGGGTGAGTGAGTTCTCTTTATGACAATCACCACCCAATATGCATTCAAACGCCACCCATTTACTTTGAATGTGCCCTTTGTCTCATGAGTTACCTCAATTGCTCCATATGAAAAAACTTAAACAACGGTGAAAGGTCTAGACCATTTAGAACTCAATTTTTCGGGAAAGAGTTTCAAACTAGAACTAAGCAACAATACTTTTTAACCTGGAATGAACCCACGCCTCTGGATATATTTATCATGTAGTTTCTTTGTCCTCTCTTTATATAGCTTCGCATTCTCAAAGACATCCATCCGAAATTCATCAATTCATCCTCTTTTCTCCAGCTACAGTCATGTCTACATTTGACTCCTTTAATGCCCAATATGTTCGATGCTATAACTCCACTAGAAGGTGACAAACTTTTCTAAATACAAGGCGATATGGTGACATGCTTATTAGTGCTTTGTAAGCAATCTTGTATGACCACAGTGCATCATCAAACTTTTGAGACCATTCAGTTCTTGAGCTATTTACCATCATCTCGAGTACTCTCTTCAGCTCCCTGTTTGACACTTCCACCTTTTCGCTTGTTTGGGGATGAAAAGGTGTAGTAACCATATTTTTCACTCCATATTTTGCTGACACTGACTCCAAAAGCCTATTGCAGTAATGTTTACCTCCATCATTAATAATAGTTTCAGGGGTACCAAAGCTTGAGAATATGTTCTTTTTCAGAAAATTAACAACCACTCGAGCATCATTAGTCTGTGCTGCTATTGTTTCTACCCATTTCGATGAATAGTCAACTACCACCAACACGTAAGAATTGTTGCAAGAGGATAACAATGGTCCCATAAAATCTATCCCCAAACATCAAAGAGCTCCATTCGAAAATCGAATTCAAAGGCATCTCATTCCTTTTGAAGATAGTCCATGTATGTTGGCACTGATCAAAGTGGTTCACATATTCATGAGCATCATTAAACAGTGAGGACCAATAAAATCCTTGATCGTAGAACCTTTGCTAATATCTTAGAAAATAAAAAATGTCCTGCATAAAGTGAAGAGTGACAACACTTCAGAATTTGATAGATCTCCTTATTTTGGCACACATCTTTGAATGATCTGATAACACATCTCCTGTATAATATGGGATTCTCCTAGTGATAATATTTCAACTCCGAACCTTTGGTGGTGCATTAACACAGGTGAAAGAATATTACATACCAAGTAATTCACTATGTCCGCATACCATAACCCACTGTCAACTATAATGATACGCTTATCCGGGAAAGAATCATTTATATCGATCACATCCATTGATTCTACCTGTTCAAGCCTCGAAAGGGGGTTTGCTACCATATTTTCACCTTTTTTCTTGTCTCGAATCTTCAAATCAAACTCTTAAAGGAGAAGTATCCACCGAATCAACCTAGGCTTCGCATCCTTCTTAGACATCTGATATTTTAGGGCTGCATAATCTGTGTAGACAACTATCTTCTGTCCCATAAAATATGATCTGAACTTATCGAAGGCAAACACAATGGCTAGCAGCTCATTTTCTATTGTTGTATAATTCAGATATGCCTCTATCAAAGTCTTGCTCACATAGTAGATGGCGTGGAGAATTTTATTCTTTAAGTGTTATTCTTTCTTTGACCCTGTATTGTCCCTACTGCGTAGCTGCTAGCATTGTACATCAACTCAAATGCCAATTCCTAGTCCGTCGCAACTATAACCGTGGTGAAATTAACTTTTTTTTTTAGAGTGTTGAATGATGTCAAACACTCTTTAGAAAAGTTGAGTGGAGTATCCTTTTCAAGTAAGCTGGAAAGAGGCTTGGTGATTTTAGAAAAATCATTGATAGACCTCCTATAGAACCCTACATGGCTAAAGAAATTGTGCACGTCCTTAACTGAAGGTGGTGGAGATAGCATTTCTATCACCTAAATCTTTGTTCTGTCCACCTCGATAACATCTACTAAAATCCTATGCCCAAGTACTATTCCTTCATGTACCATGAAGTGACACTTCTTCCAGTTTAGCACCAAATTCGTTTCCTAACATCACTGTAAGACCATTCCCAAATTTGAGAGGCAACTCTCAAATGAGAACCGAACACCGAAAAGTCATCCATAAAGACTTCAATAATTTTCTCCACCATAAAAAGATTGCCATTATACATTGCTGAGATTTAACAATAGTATTATGCAACCTAAATGGTATCCTTCTGTATGCAAAGGTACCGTAGGGGCATGTTGTAGCCTTTCCCGGATCCTTTAAAGACACTTGAATTTGATTATAGCCTGAGTATCCATCTAAGGAGCAGTAATGTGAATGCCTCACTAGCCTTTCCAAGATCTGATCGATGAAGGGCATGTAAAACTGATCCTTTCTAGTTACATTATTGAGCTTCCAGTAGTCCATGCAAATTCTTTGTCTCATGACTAGACTTTTTGGTATCATCTCATTATTCTCATTCTTTATCACTGTGATCCCTCATTTTCCATTTGCTATCAAAGATCAAATAGATGATGCCTGAATCAAAGAGTTTCAATATCTTTGCTGGCATGACGTCTTTCATTGTGGGGATCTATCTATGCTGATTTTCCACTGTTGTCTTATATTATTCTTCGATTAAGATTTTTCCCATGCATATCAATTGATAAATTCCTCTAATGTTTCTTATAGACCACCTAATAGTTGTTTTATGTTTCCCCAGAACTCTTAGTAATCTATGCTCTTCTAACTCGATCATTTCATTTGCAGTAATCATAGGGGGTGTGGATGACTCTCCTAAGTAAGCATACCTCAGATGTGATGGAAATGTTTGAGCTCAAGATTTGATGCTTTCTAAATAAAAGTTAGTGGGTTACTGTGCCATGTACCAAGTTCTTCAAACTGTTTTCTTCTGATGGACGGAGTAGATTCCATAACGTATGCAATCTGGCATATCTTTTCAATTATTATTATTTTTATCTTGTCAGTATACAAGAAGATTCTCCAAGTGGTCTTGAGGGTGCTCAAGAATGAAAGTCTCCTCCAAGTCCAAATTTATCATATCAATGCAAAAACAGCTTTCTGATTCTATATAGTACTTAATAGCACTGAAGACATTGAATGTTACCTACCCATCATTTAGTCGTAGCATCAATTTTCCCTTCTCAACATTTATTAAGGCCTGAGATATTGCAAGGAATGATCTCTCCAATATCAATGGCACATCCTTGTCTTCCTAAACCATGTCCAGAATGTTGAAATCTACAGGATAGATAAATTTATTGACCTTTACCAATATTTCTTCGTTAATTTCCTTGGGAAATTTTATAGACCTATTTGCCAACTGCAAAGAGATCGATGCTACCTTTGCCTCTCCCAAGTCTAGTCTCCTGAAAATAAAGTAAGGCATGAGATAAATGCAAGCATCTAAATCACAAAGAACCTTATCAAATTCCATGTCACCAATAGTATTAAGGATAGTGAAACTCCTTGGGTCCTTTAGTTTAGGTGGTAGGTTATTTTGTAATATGGCACTGCATTCGTCGTTCAACATAAATGTCCTCAAATCTTCTAACTTCTTCTTGTTTGTGAGTATCTCCTTCATGAATTTTGCATAGCTGTGTATTTGTTTTAAGTGTTTCCATAAATGGTATATTGATTTATAGCTTTTTGAATACCTCAAAGAACTTCAAGAATTGCTTGTCTAGCTTATGCTCTATAGCCTATGTGGAAATGGGAGTAATTGAACAATTTCTTTGACAGAAGCAGCTACATTAACCTTTGGATCATCTGATATTTTCCTTATTCACTGTTTGGCTCAAATTCTTCTAAGTGCTCCTCAATCATGGTAGGTATATTCTCTTGTGTAAAAACTGGCTTCCTCACATTTATCTTAGGCAGTTGTACATACTACAAGTAGTTATAGCCATCTGATTTTTTAAATTTTTTATAGCGGCTTCTTGAACTTGCAAGTTTTTATCCATTCTTTGCATGTGCTGAGTAGATGTTTTCGCCAACTTAGTCACAAGATCATATAATGAAGACTTCTTCTCATTTTGCTAAAAATTTGGTGGTACAATCTACTGTGGTACGATCTAATACTCCTGATTATTACTCCACTGAAAGCTTGAGTGATTTTTCCAGCCTGGATAATATGCATAAGGATTTGGTCTGTGTTGTTACCTTCGAAAATTCCGAGTGTAGTTCACATCATCCACTATGTGAGCAAAAGGAGACCATACATTACAATCAACACTCTCGTGGTTTCCTCTATAGTGATTGCATTTCAGTCGCACTATCTAGGTTGTGTTCATCTGATTTGCCTTCTTTGCCAATGATGTCAACTGTACTGAAATTGATGTAAAAAATTCAATGTCAAATACCCCAGCAATTTTCTTTCTACTAGTCCTTTTTCAGTAGGCCAAAGTGAGTGAATGGCAAATCCTCCATGATTTAGTAAACTTGATATATGCTCTTTTCGTGATAAAATCGTCGCACATAAAGTCTACGTTAGCTTTGCTAATCGGATTCAAACCAATGTAGAAGTATTGCATATGAAGCCACTTTTGCAATCCATGTTGCGGGCATTAACTGTGTCAACCCTTGTATCGTTCTGAAACCTCTAAATAGCATTCTGAATCCAATTGTTGGAAAGTAGCAATCTCATTCCTTAGTTTTGCAATCCTTTGAGATAGAAAATATTTATTAAAGAACTTTTGACTCAATTGGTTCCACATAGTAATGCTTTGAGATAGAAAAATGTCTAACCACTCTCTCGATGAGTCTCTCAATGTGTATAAGAAGAGCCTCAATCTAATTTACTTTGCTTAAAACCTTCTGGATACTCAATTATTGTACACATATCAAAGAATCTTGATTTATGAACATTAGGGTTCTCAATAGCTCTTCCAAAGAACTGCAGAGTATTCTAGAACATGTTTATGACATCCGTTCACAAGTGAAAGTTTGCCTGACCAAACGCTGAATATACTACGCTTGACTGGCTTTCTACAACCAGGGGGACCATGTACTCTCCCATTAGCTTTGCATTTTCATTAACTACAGCTACATTCTATTTTAGTCGTATTTCCAACTATTGTCTTCTTCAAAGGTTGAATGTTCGTCTGATCTTCGGGTCAATTGAGCAAGATTCTTGGTTCTCAAACTATGTAAAAAAAATCCTGAAAATGGAAGCAAGAAACACTGTAAAGATTTTCTAATATAATAAACTAAATGAAAAAAAGTAAAATTTAGATTAAAGCTAAAATTAATTAAAATTTATCAAAAACAATAGTCCCTAGCAACGGCGCCAAAAACTTAACCCTTTGAAAAGCCGCAAGTGCACGGGAATTTGATCAAGGAATATAATGGTGAATTAAGTGTTGCATGAGGACTATGTGTTAGATCGAATTAAAGCTCAAGTGCACGGGAATTTGATCAAGGAATATAACAGTGAATTAAGTGTTGCATGAGGACTATGCGTTGGATCGAATTAAAGCTATTAATACCCTTAATCGAATAGCAATATTGAGTTGTAACAAATCAATGTCTAATTTATCAACTAACTCAAAAGTAAAGTAAAAGTTATCAAATTTGTGAGATTCATTGTTAAGATGTAGAATCCACCTTGTTAATCCATTTTTAGTTCAACAATTTAAAATGACAATTTGAAATTACTCTTGTTGGTAAATGTTCCTATTTTAATTTAAAACTTCTTTCATTAGCAGTTAAATCTAATCCTATATGTGACCTTTCATATCTCAATGAAAGATACGACATGCAAGAAAACATTAAACGAGTTAGAACATCTATATAAATCATATGAAGTATAGAGGTATATAGTTATTCTTAGGGATGTAAACGAGCCGAGCCGAGCCGGCTCGCGAGCCAAAATTTTGGGCTCGGGCTCGAGTAAATCGTAACGGGCTTTTTTTGGACCCAAACCGAGCCGAGCCAAACCTCGGCCAAAAAAATAAGGTTCGGTCCGAGCTTTTGGCTCGGGTCGGCTCGGTTTTTTAAATTTTTTTTTTTTTTGCAATTTTTAATGACATTTTTTTCACATGCTAATTGTTGTGGTGCAATTTGTTTAGTGTAGAAAGCAAAGAAATTGTTGAATGACATTTTTTTGAAAGAATTTAAAAATTGGATCATTTATTATTTATACAAATTAAATAAAAGTACAACTTTCAAAATTATGTAATTTATACGAATAACAAAATAAATAAAAGTTACAAATTACAGCCCTCCTCCTTTTTCCGGGCTTGGGACCGGCTACAATCAACGTAGACGGAATTAAAATTGTATACGAATAAAATATTTCGTGTACAATTTTTTTGAATCAAATAAATTTAAAAAATACATTTCTTAAAGAAAAATAATTAATTTAAAAACTTACAACATCCTATATTTGGATATGCTGCAACTCTTCGGCCATTATACTATCAACATGTTCTTGAACACGTAATTCTGCACATTCTTAATCCTTCAAACATATCAAAACCTCCAATATATCTTCTTTTAGTCTTGATCGTTCATCTGATAAAATTCGACCACCTAAACTGAATGCAGCCTTCGATGCTACCGTAGACACCGGAGGTGTTAGTAGATCACGTGCAATTTTTGATACAATTAGATATTGCCTTTCGTTACGTCTCCACCAATTTAAAAGACTAAATTCTTGTAATTCGTTCGGTTGCAACACACTACGAACATCCACGCACATATATCTAGCGAACTTAGAAGGAATTTCAAGATTTGCACCACCAATATTGATCGCTCTAGATGTTGATGAGTTAGAACTAGAACTAAATGAAGGAGCACTTGTATTGCTATCTAAATAATTCCATAAATTTTCGGGATTTGTTGAAATATTTCTTGAAAAATAACTTTGGAAAGTAGAACTACGCTGACCTTCCTTTTCAGCATAATAATTATACATTTCACATAAAAAAGATTCTATATGCACGTGTGATAATTCTATATTCGAAAAATCTGATATCCCCTTTACAGTAGTTTTTGTACCAGTTAAATTAAGTCGAGGGTCCATTACTGAAGTTAAAAGAAATAAAGAAGGCAACTCTTCTCAATATTTACAAAATTTTAACTCCATAGAGCGGACTACATCAGCAAATAGTGGCAAATTCCTATATTTATGAAATGCTTGTGAAATGTAGAAAAAATATTGTAAAACAAGAGAAGATGTAGGGTAATAAACACCGCTACATTCCTTTGTAGTATCAAAAAAAGGTTGTAAGAATTTTTTCACGTAAAATGCAATAGTCCATTCCCAATCTTCCAAATTATGTTCGGGTCCGAGTGTATGCCTACTATTATAATATAGTGAAATCACTTTATCGTAATTTTCACACGAATGTAACATAAGATATATAGAGTTCCACCTATGTGTTACATCAGTGGCAAATAATTTCTCCTGTAATCCATACTCTGCACACAAACTATTAAATGCTTGTTTTCTTGCTGGTGACACAGTAATAAAATTTATTGCTTATCTAATTTTACCTAAAGGTGAACTTATATATTCTAATCCAACTTTTACAATCAAATTAATAATATGACATACACAACGTTGATGAAAAAATAAATTTCCAAATACGGGGTTAAGATCAGCAATAAATCTTTCAATAACAACTTTGTTCACTGCAGCATTATCAAAAGTAAAATTTCGAACCATATCTTGTATACCATATTCCTGTATGATATCTTTTTAAAACCATGTATATGTTAGTGGCATTATGGGGAAATTCTACACATCTGAATGCAATAATTCTTTTATGTAGAAGCCACAGGTGATCGATATAATAAGCCGTAGCAGCAATATAACATTTTCTATTACAACCAGTCCATAAATCAGAAGTAAACGATATAACACTATTAAAACTTTTTCGACCTTCAATAGTAATTTTTTTCTTCTCTTATATAATTTTATGCTATCCGAACAAAGAGTATTTCTAGAATAAGAAGAATACCTGGGTTGGAGATATTTCTGCACGAGTCGAGTAAAGTGTATTGAGTCTATCATCGTAAGCAGCATCTCTGCTGCAGCCACGTATGCAGTCATTCCTTCACGAAATCTTTTCTGTGAATATACAAAGGTGGAAAGAGTAGAATTAGAACCGCCAAACACTAGTTCGGTTTGTTTCGAGTCGAGATTGGCTGGTTTCGCTTTGCAACTCCTTAATACGTGTCTATTCAAATGCGTTGTGCTCGAGCCAGGCTTCCAACTAAGTTCTTTGCCACAGTAATTGCAACATGCTTTCCAAATATCTACTCCATTTTGAACACCAATTTTTTTCGTGTCATATGTTGCCAATAGTCCGATGATTCTTTTTTGACCTTTTTGTCTCGAGTACTTGAACTTCTTCCTCTTCAATATCCTCCAAATTAATTGGAACATTTTCACATGCATCGTAGTTAGATGGAGTACTCGAGCTACCGCCAAACTGATTAATTTCATCACTTGTAAAATCCATAATAACTATTATAATAAAAAATACTGAATATTAGACTGTAGAGTGAAAGAAATTGAATATATTAATTGTTATATGAGAAGTGAGAAAGAAGAAATTGAAACTTGAATCTGAATCT